CGTGTCTGATAGGCCCACATACCAGTATGGGTAAACATTACTGTGTGCAAGTAATAACATCAGAAACCTTTTGGGGAACAGTTATGCTTTTGAAGTTTGTCCTGAAAACTTTGGAGACATTGGTTAGGCACTGGTTAAAATGCCCACATACATGTACATTGTAAATTGTAATTACCATGCACATAAAGTTAGTAATAAATGAAATGGAATTCATTGAACAGGTACATGTACATGTATTTCAATGGTATGGAGGTGCTGTTGAAAAAATCTGAAGACGAAAGGTTTAAAAAATTGCCAGTAAAGGTATATGCATAGCCATGGTTCAGCCTATTACTGGTATATATTTATAGTTTTTAAGAGAATTTCATTCATTTTATATTCGTAAATACCTGGGATGGGTTTTCTATTCCTATTAGTCGAAACGCATCACGTGACCGTTTATTAACATTTGACAGTGCCCACTGAGAAGTGATAAATGCCCACTGTATAAATCATGTGCTGGCACATGGATACGAGACAGTTTAATCGGGTCTGATTGGTCAGGAGTCTGTGTGCAGGCGACGCGCCATGCGCACACCATATTTATTGAAGGGGATGCTATTGGACAACTTTCAAAAGGAATATACCATAAAATGGATGGGGGGGGGTGTTCGGGAAAATGAAAGTAAAATTCTTGATCATTCCACATCACAAGTTAGTTACAACTTTGGGAGGGCATACCTACTGGCAGGCGCACCAACGGATAGACCAATCCTTTTATTCTCTTCTGTTCTTTTAACTTCCTTTCATTCATTTCATTTCATTCATTATTTCGCAGGTCAAATTCATAATGGATAAAACAGAATAAGTAGAGAAAAAAATTACATACAGTATAGACATAAAGAAGACTAAGTTAAAATATAACATCAAACCTTATAAAAAGACTAAGACCCAAACACCAAAACAGTTGCACGCCCCTGCGGGATTACTAAAAAAAGAACTAAATCACTATCAAGTAGTTCCCCCATAGCATGACTAAAAACCCTAAATTGCAAAATCACAAACGTTTTTGCAGACTCACTTTAAACCACATAATCACAAGGGCGAGGAGAATAACCCTACAAAGTATTACAAAATCCTTGAGTTTATGTGATAATTCTATGTATTGCAGCATATTAACAAGAAAAGCAAGGAAGACACCCTGATTGTAACTAAAAATCTAAAAACAAAACTCCCACAAAACAAACTCCAAAGAGACAGTCGACAAGAAACAGATGACCCTACAGATGGAGAAACACAACCTCCCAAACATACAAGTACATGTAGTAGAAAGAAAACAAACAAGACAAAACAAAAAAGTAAGACAAAGGGAAAGACAACAAACTAGCAAACAGATGGACAAACAGTCCGCCCACCCACACCAGACAGACAGAAGACAAACAACCAAACAAACAAACAAATGTACAGATGAAGAAACGATCCAGAAAACAAGCAACAACTGCACAAACAAACAAACAAACACAAACCCCAAGTAAAATAAACAAGCCGTTCATAAAAAACCCAAAAAAACACGAGATTAAGAAAGAGAAAAAAAAACAACCAAAAAACAGGGTCCAGGAAAAAGGTTAAGCAAATCCCGTCTGTAAAAGGGCTCAAGATGGCATGTAGTTCACACCAGGAGTCAGCCAGTGTAGCCTCAGTTTGGCAGTGAAAGTGTTGAGACCAAAGATCAGGCTATCTACATGTATACGGTATTAACAATATTTACATCAAAGATACTTATCCGACTTGATGAAAATTCATTGACAGTAATCTCCAAATTGCTTAGAACTGTTACAATTAAGCAGTATAGCAAAAACTGTGCTAGGATCTAATGAAAGGATTACAACTTCCTCAACTACATTTGTAGGATGAAAAAAAAACCTTTTCAGGAAAAAGCTTTGCAAATGTATTGATAAGTTGCAACTCCTTAAGAATAGATTTGACAATTGTAATTTTTAAAGTGACTGAATTTTTTTCATTTATTTCATTTTGTATACATTTTTGTTTTTTTAATTAACGCAGATGACAAATTCCTGTCCAGATTACACTTTTGTAGCGACTTATCACGATACATTACTCTGTGTATCACTTGTGGAGTGATATCACACAATCAAGAACTTAATTTCGTTCTAATTTGCCACTCAATCGAACGAAAATACATTTTTAAAACAAAATCATTGGAAATCCATCATGTGTTGATTTCTTTTGACTCTGAATAAAAACGCATTCATGAATGGGAATAAATGTGTGCTTAGTCGGTCCTAAACTGACGTTTAAGATCTTGCTCAGGAGAACAAACGCTGATCCTGCGGCTTGGGCATTAGTCACGTCCATTCTCCTGAGCCGGTCTTAAATGCATGTTTAAGACTGGCTAAGAACATATTCATTCCCTTATTTGCTTGGCCAGTTTTAAACGTGCATGTAAGACTGGCTCAAGAGAATGGATGCAACTAACAGCCGCAGGAGTTCAGTCTTCTGAGCCGGTCTTAAACGTTAATTGCCAAGAACATAATATTCTTACATACCTTTCTAGTTAGAGAATCAAAAGAAATCATTTTACATCTACATGTATGAATGATTTCCAGCAATTTTGTCCTGGAATTTTACTTTCCTTTTCCCGGACACCCCCGTCCATTTTATGGAATACTCTTTGTGCAAATTGTCCAATTGGTGCACATGTGGTGAGCCATGTGCACAAAGAGTCTTACCCAATCAGAATCGATTTAACTGTCTTGTATCCAGGTACATGCACCAGCGCGTGTTTTACACAGCGGCGTTATCACTTCTCAGTGGGCATTATCAAATGTTCAAGTTGCGGTCAAGTAGCACATTGTTGAATAGGGAGACTGTCTGAGCTACATGTATTTAGGATCATTCTTTAATTGATTAAGAAAGGTTAATTACATATATATGCACATCATGTTAAATTCATGAATCAAAGATTTTGAAAGAATGTTTTGAAACCCAAGACCAAGGTAAAATGTCTGCAAAAATTCATCTCATAAAAGTGAAAAATTTTCCCCCAGTATCAGCATGATCAGAATGAGGACCATGACATATACTTTGCGTGTACATGTATTCCATAAAACCACACATTCATTTCATGGAGTCTCCACAAAGCAGAAAGCTGAGAAACTGTACATGTTTTTCAGAAAAACTTAACTCATGCATTTTTTTTACCATCGTTTACTCTACACGTATGTAATTTTAATACTGTACGTGTACACGATGCACTGTACAGGAGAGGTACATGTACATGTACAATGTACCGGTACATGTACTTAATATTGCCTGCACTTGTTTAACATGCATGCATGTACAGTACATCATGTAATTCATTGTATACGGTATGCATTGTAGATCAGCAGACATGGCAGGAGTATTGTTTATGTGATCTTGCTCTGCACATGGGTATTATGTTTCCAGATTGGTTGGAGTAAAGTGGTGCGATGTGAGCATGCATACATAAGTGTGCAGCATACAGTACCCTGCCATACTCAGCTGCATCTGACCGTGATTTGGCATGGCCAAGTGATTCATGGTGCAGCTTACAAGTTCGGAAAGATTATAAAGACCATGCGTGACATGCATTCTGATACATTTTGTGAACTTTTAACATGCTTACCAATTTAAGGTACTGTAGCCTACCGTATTTCACCATATTTTCTGTTGACCAGTAGGTTATCAGTATGATTTAATTTAACGCTGCAGTGTAATTTGACAACCAGAATTACATGAACCGGTAGAAGCCATTAATTACTGTGGTGTCACAGTGCTCATTTACAGGTGGTACTTGTACATGTGCATAATGTACTGGTACCTTTTGGACCAATAGGGTGAGGTGATTTGCCAAATACATGCTCATCAAGCTGAAGAATACATGTATATACATGAGTGTGGTGCCACCCCAGTTATGGTGTCTAATTAGATTAGTGTGTACATGTACGTCTACAGTGAGTCAGTATTCAATTGTTATTTTTTCATAACCTCTTCAAAAGATTTCTTCCCAAGTTGACAAAGTACATGTACGGTACGTTGGAAATTTTCTGACTGCATCTTTATATCGAAGAATTAGCACTGAACATACATGTACACGTGTACATGTCATACCGGTATAAGAAGTGTATGTCATTCCTGTAATTCTCTTTGAATACTGCTTTTTATTCAATTATATGGTGGTTCAAATTAACAAAAGGCATACTAGTATCCTTGACAACACCAGTCCGGTCACCATTGGGTTTGGCTACGTTCCTGGCAGGAGACAGCAGTCAGGCTATAGGCGATGGTCTTGGCTGATGCCAGTGATCAGCAAGTTATCATAAGGTCTTGAGTGCTTTGCAGGAGGTGGCTGTCCAACTTGAGGCAGCATGGTCTTGGCTTGACCAATGGTGGTCCCTTGGAAGCAGTGGTCATTGGTGGGTTGCTGGAGTGCACCCCACCAATGATTGATACACCCGTTGTGAGGAATAGAGCTCTTGCAGGACCACACCACTCCTACATGTACATTAGGACAATTTGTTGCACTAATTGAACATTAATGAAAGTGCCAAAGGTCTCTCAATGGAGCATTAGGTAAAGGCGCATGGTAACTGGCGCTTGAACAGTTATGTGTATTTATGGATTTTGAGTCATTTTTTTTGACGGTAGGCATTCAATTTGTACTGATGTACTCGGAAATGCGTGCATCTTTGAACTCTCGCAACATTCTGTAGCATAAATGAAAGTGCCAATATAAAGACCCAGATCCGAAAATGCGCACGGCTTCACGGACATGGTATTCTTCCTGAAATGCCCTTACCCGTCATCATGGTCATGTATGTCACGTGGAAAACCCCTGTGTGTCAACCTTGGAAGAAGAACCAACTAACAGGAACGCCATGCTTGTCAGGGCTTGAAAAATTTAAGAGGGCTGTAACAGGGACCTACATGTACAATATGCCGTACCTACGCATGTACATGTACTTGTATTCAATATGATGTACATGTACCGGTAGGCCTACATGTTTGCATACTGCGGGTAAGACATCACAAGTTGATAATTTTGTTCATATTTATGCACTTGTTTTGTGTACATGTTCAGTTGTCAAACATTACAAGCACACCGGTACAAGTGTTCCAGTTTGTTCAGAGATGTACATGTATACGCATGTACATGTATACTGTACTGTTTAAAAAGTCTACTTACTGCTTATTTTGTGCTCATTGCATAGACCGTTTCAGTTTATAATTACGTCATTTACATCACTTAAACATTCTAATTTTGTCCATTGTTTCTTTGCAGCTTTTGTTATCTACAACTTTTTGAGCCTTTGCTATGAGTATCTGGGCGGGGAGAGCTCCATCATGTCTGAGATACGAGGAAAGTGCATCACGTGAGTACATGTAGAAGGTTGAATCCACACAGTGTACATGGACATGGAACAGTCACGCTGAGGGGCAAGGGTTGCTGGATGGGTTTCTGGAGGGTAATTCCCATGGTCTCTTGAAAACCTGTCAACATATGGAGGCCTGCAATACATGTACATGTACATACAAACTACCCCATATGGTGACCGGTACTTCAGTTTACTCACAGGGTACTTTTGCAATATGCTTTGTATTCCTACCACCCCATCCACCCCAAGAGAGTCAAAGAAAATAATTTAGCCAAAACTTCTCCAAGTCCCAAAATATGATCTATTGTGTGTGTGTTTGTCTGCCTCCTTATCTCTGGAATCAGAATGAGGAGGTTAACCTGAATTGACACGGGGGAAAGAATCACTCTTTCTCTTTTACTGGTCATGTACGTGTACAACTTGGCTTCTAATGTTCCTTGCATGCCGTTGCATATACATGTATGTACTAGTACATGTATGTGCAGACAGCATGCATACTGTAAATAATGGATGTTTGTACTGGTTCATGTACCAGTATGCCCTCATGGTTATACGATAACGTGACTGTTTTGATGGAAGCTTAAGTCCCATTTCTAGAAATCACATAGGCATCTATGTAGAACTTGATGCTGCTGCTGTATACACAGAGGATGATGAAATCTCTTTGTGCACATTCAGCTGAAATAAGTCTGCTTTCCGGTGCACACCATACATGCACACACTAACGGCACAGCCTTTCATGCCTGTCTGCTCGACACGTATTACAACCCTCCTATGCTTAAGTCACTCTTTGGGTCACTTAGTAAACACCTCAAAGAAGCACAGCTGAGTCGTGTTGTGCACTGCACCAACATGCAAGAGAGTGACCTTGGCCACTTGTGCATATTTGTGCTGTAAAACTAAAGAAGGGTTAATTAAGGTGCCGGTACCAATATGAACATGTCTGTTTATTTATTTATACTGGCAAAAAGCCAATTTATAATAACAGTCACAGTACAAAAATACTAAGAATAGTAAAGGACAGAAGCCAAGGATAGCCCAAGAAAGCTGTAATAAACAGCTTATTTCCATTGGGGTCCTCACAAAAAAAGAAAAACATTTATACAATACTAAAAATATTAAAAAATACACTGGTGGTTAACATACATGTAGATGTAGATTTTTTTGGGGGGGGAAATGTGTACGATTTTGAAAAATAACCCACCAATTTAAAATTTAAATTTTAAAATTCGGATTTTGATGACAGGTATATTTTGGCTGTTTTTTTTTTTTATTTTGTAAAGTATTACAACTTTTTACTTCATTGGGAAGCGAATTCCAAAAGTGTACTCCAGTATAGAAGAAAGTATTGCATTCAGGCCCCTTTATACAGGGAACAACAACATTTCGTGGAATAACCGTGCGTATTTGAAACTCGTTTGAAATTCTCACAAAGATAATCTGGTGCCATATCATGAAAAATTTTATAAACCTGATTCAATTTCAACTGTATTACCCGATCATTTACATTTAAAAAACCCAACCTATTCAATTCTGCTTGTCCAATATGAGATCTACACAATGTAGGACCTAGGCTTAGAATAAAACGGACGATTTTATTTTGAGTTATTTGCAACCTCTTTTTTAGTTTAGTAGACAGTGCAGAAAACCAGGATGAGCAACAATAATCAAATTAACGTGTTATAATCGCTCATTTAAACAATTTGCATATATATAAAAAAACTTAATCTTGCACTAGCCTTTTTGATGACTGAATTGGCTACATTCTCACAATTTAAACTTTGATCCAGCGTAACACCCAAGTAATTTACACAATTTGAGAAGCTAATAATTTTCCCATCACAAATCACTTCGAGTTTGTTGACACTGCAGACTTTCTGTTTAGATCCAAATAGAATTAGTCTCAGCTTTACCAACATGCAAAGAGAGTTTTTTATCAATCAGCCATTGTCTGCATGATTCCAGCTCTGCACTCAAGCTATTGGCTATTGCTTGAGGGTCCTTGCCGGAAATAATGATGGCACTGTCATCAGCATACAACAACAGATTTGATCCAACACTCATTTGTGTGTCGTTTTAGAGACAAAGTAAAGGCCCTAAAAGACTACCCTGGGGAACACCACATGTTATTTTCGTTGGTTGAGAATCAACTTGATTAATTCGAACAATTTGTTGTCTATTTGAGAGAAAAGATTGAAACCAATCAACTGAATCAAAATGAACACCCATGGCTTGTAATTTTCTACATAAAATAAAATGATCCACAGTATCAAAAGCCTTTGTAAATCCAGCAAAACCACACCAGTAAAATTTCCTTTGGTAATCTGACAACGAATGTTGTCAGTGAGATAAATTAAACAAGTACATGTATCTGTAGAATATGATCTTCTAAACCCTGACTGAAAGTTGTAAACAAGTTTATTATCAGTCAAATGTTTTTCCAGTTGAACATAAACAGCTTTTTCCAACAATTTGGATACTGTACTGAGAATGCTAATAGGTCTGTAATTGCCAACATCCGGTCTACTATTTTTTTTAAATACAGGCCTAACCAAACTTTAGTTCATTTGGAAAAATATTACTGGAAATACAGTGGAGACAGGTTAATTATAAACAAAATAGGATCTTTTAGGATGGCAGCACCATCTTTAAAGAATTTCACTAAAATATTGTCTGGACCAGTACTTTTTTGGGGTTTAAACTTGAGTAATTCTTTGTAAACGAAATCTCTCGAAACAGTAGAGAGCTTAAAGGAATTTGAGACTACACCTCTGCTCTCAAAAAGTCCTGAAAGCCCTAGACTCAATCCCAAAATTATTTTGTTCACCAGATCAGAAGCAACTGTAGTAAAAAATGATTTGTGTAATTTGCCACTTTGTTTGTATCAAAACAGAACTCGCCATCAATTTTAAGTGCAACATAAGTTTCATCCTTACATTTTTTACTGTACCCAAGTGATTTAAACTGGTGCCAAAGTCCTTTAGGATTGTTTCCATTTTCTTCAATCTTTTGACGGAGATAATTAGCTTTGGCAATCCGAACATCCCTCTGGATCTTATTTCTAATTTGGTAGTAAGCTTTATAAAGATCAGTGTTGTTTTTATCTTTGGCTAATTTACCAAGAGGTTTATCTCTAAGCCTACTATTTTCTGATATCTCATGATTAAACCAAGGTTCAGTTCTGGTCTTCAGTCTGATCTCTTTTTTCAGAGCAACAGTGTCGAGAATTTGCAAAACAGTGTTTTTGAAATTGTCCCAGGGTTGATCAATATCATTTCAATATACATGAGACCAATCAGCATGTGACTGTCACAACAGAAAGTCCTCTATGCTATAGTTCCTAAGAGATCTGATAGTGGTAATATTATGACCACCACAAGTTGGCTTTTTGACACCTTGCGAGAACAATAGATGGGAAAATGATCACTCAAACCCAAATTCAAAATCCCTGATTGGCTAATCTTGTCTCCATTGTTACAAGTAACATGATCATGTCCTCGTTTTCTATTGACCGCTTTCCCTTTTGTCACCTGTCCATGTCCCTTTACCCCTAACCTTCTTCTCTCTCCCCTGCAGGCCCACCAGCTGGTTCTGCTGCACCTGCTGCCTGCGTGGCCGCACTTACTCCATCGGTTTCCTGCGTTTCTGCAAGCAGGCCACCTTGCAGTTCTGCTTTGTCAAGCCCATCATGGTGGTCATCACGCTGGTACTCCTGCCGTTTGGCAAGTACTCAGACGGAAATTTCTCGTAAGTCCTTTTTTTTGGTTTTTGTTTTATTTATTTTGCTTTTATCTCAACATTTATTTCCATTTTGCAAAGTACATTTATTAAATTCTACACAGAGCTGATGTACGAAAGATGTTTGATAAAATACCAGAATAATGATAAGTTAGACACCAATGAAAAAGAGGCAAGTAGGAATGTATGGAGGAATATTTAATACAGACATATCTTTTCAAGAAAAAACTAGACCAAAACAACTATAGATCACACAGAAAAGACAAAGAATGGAACAAGACAAACAAAACAAAAAATGCACCAATGGACTGAGATGTACTGAAAAGTTATGAAAACAGGGGTTCTTAAAACTTTGAAGGTTGATGTTTATTGAAGGTTCCAGTCAGTGATCGTGATAACAAAGCAGGCCCCTCCTCCCCAATTTTGACGTCAGTGTCTTTTGAAAGTGTGGCCACAAATGTATAAGGAGATGAGACATGCCATCATGTGTAGGAAGAGCTCTTGATTTGCTGTGACTTTACAATGATTCAACTAGGGCTGAGTCAATTCGAATAATTGACTATTTGAAAATTCAACCTTCAGTTTGATCGAGTATTCAAATATCCGGTCATACCGGCCAGCAGATTGTTGATGAACAAACCGTATACAAAATCAGTGGTAACAATTGTACACTATAATCACTATACATGTAGTAGCTTCTCACTTTTAGGACTATCTGCAGCCACGATTTACATGTAGCAAAGATTATTGTTGCATTAAAAAATGCCCCCCCCGACACCACAATTTATGGTCCCCAAGAGAATACTTCAGATGGAGCTATCTTCCTCTTCGGACCTCCAGTCATTCAATTTCAAGTAGAAATATTGTCATGAAGGTTTCATCATATTTTATTTCAACAAAGTTTGTATCAATACATTGTTATTACAAGGAAAACTACATGCATCTTGGCACATTCCTGATTTTTTTAGTTAAAAAGCTGTTTCCATATTCTAGGATGGATTCTATATTGGATTGTTCGGAATATCAGCTACCTTTAAGTGTCTTGAATCTGCTTGATTTTTCTCATAAAATTCTCCCTTCTTTTTCATGAATTTTGTATTTGAATATTAGAATACAAAAAATTACAATTGAATATTTGATAATTGATCAAATATTCCAATATTCAGATATTCTGCACTGCCCTAGATTCAAGATAAAAGTAGTCCCTTAGATTAAATTCAAATGAAGTTTAAGAAAACTTTATTACTACTGCAATAAAAGCATGTTATTTAAATAAGAATGATTTCATTTGCTCCCTAATGGCCTTGATTTACTTACATGTACATGTATATACTCAAGTTCGCTTAATTAAAAATGTTTTGGGACTGCATCCATTGGCATTTTGTTCTTTCTTGTTTTGTTTGGATTTTTGTTATTTTTTTGTTTTCCTTTTTTTTTACTTTTTAGGTTTTTTATGTTTGAAAATTTGAAGTCAGTTCTAAATAGATTCATGACTGACAAGACAAAAAATGGGAATAAATTTGATTTTGAAGTTGTCTAAGCCTGTGAATATATTCATAGATCTTTCATAGTCTACAGGAAAGTGGCCGCAGCTCATCTTTTGACATTTTCTGCCCCTGGCCTGCATCTGATCAAAACAACAAAAGCAACTGGCTTTGCCAAACAGAGCTGCATGTCACGAGTAAATCCTGCAGAAGGACTGAACAAATCTGTGGCCTTTGCATAATCCCACGTGGGCTCATGTACATGTACGTGCTGCTGGAGAACAGTAGGGATTCATACTAGATTTGCAGTACCTGTACATGTACTGGAATGTATGTGTGTGCTACACATGAATTATATGCTGTTACCTACCGGTACATGTCGCCTGTATGTTCAGTTTTAAAATTCTGACCACAACTCATGTACCGGTAGTTTAATACTTAGCCTTAAAAGCCCTCTATCCTTCATTGAAGTTACTAGTGACACAGCTTCTGTGGGATACAGTATGTACATGTACTACGGACTCGTAAGAATTGCTTCAAAACTCAATATGCTCAAAGACTCAGTTGGGAATATTTCATGGTACATTATGTAAAATGATATTCTCCACATGTAATGCCTGGTTTCTATAATGACGGACATTAAGAAATGCAGAGAGCAGCACAATCAAGATGCAAACTGCCATGCAGGCATATAGAAACTTGTCAAACAGAAGTGTCGCCAACAAACCAGATCCAGACGGAAAGTTGAGCCCAGGTCAACTTTGCTGACTGTCTGCGTTGAGTCGCTGAGTGACCTATACAAATACACACGCTGAAATGATAGGCATAAAGCGATGTTCCTCTCACTTAGTACCACTCATATTGTCCATTTTCTCCTTATTACCAGCATATGCAGCCCAATCTTCTGTAAAATAGCTGATGGTAAACAAAATACATCCAACTGGAATATCAGTTTGGCTTCAAGAGGCATTATTGCCATCTCAAAAAGGCATTGTATGCAAAAATTTCCAAGTTTTGGACACCATTTTGTTTGATTCTTTTGGTGGAATGATGTTACACAGCATCTGCGGCTTCCGCAGCTGTCTGCTTGAGGTCTTGCGAGCCATTGGCGTTAATGACGACAATATGGAAACCAGGCTTAATGTTACATTATTAGTTATCACTAGGCCAAATACAGAACACCGACGCACTACATTATTCTGTGTCCCCCAACCGCAAGTGAGATAACGAAGTTATCTTCAAGCAAACTTGACATGCAGTAAAGATTTACCTTTGAATTTACTGTAAATTTTGCAGTTACACATTTTGCTTTTAGCATGAAATAGCGCGTTGCATTGAGTTAGAATAGTGCATTATGCAGGGTTTGACATGAATGTGCAATACAGTTATTCATGTACCATATACATGTTCATGTATGTCACACAGTTTGTTGCCATGGCCGGATCGACCAATGAGAATTGAGAATTCAAGTTTGCGGGAAGATAATACATTATGTTACATTAACACTATAGTATGTTATATTGCATTGTACAGTTGCGTATGTTATTTCAAAAAGATACAAGTACACATGTATTCCAGAAGCATCACAGATTTTGGTACTTACTGGTAGCCTTTGAGAGATGCTTGCAGATGGCTTTTCAAGCCTAACAAGTACATGTAAAGTGGATTTGTTCAAATCTTGCTGGGACCAAACAAACAGACAAACAACCCATCAAACAACCCTACAAAAAAAATAAACAAACACCCCAACAGCCCAACACCACAACAAACAAACAGTTTGTTCATGTACGAGTACATGTACTTGTTCACTACCTTGCATATATTGGTGCCTTACATTTTCATATTGAGTATTGTTCCTCCTATTACCCAGCGTGGTGGATGGCTACCTATACATCACCATCATCTACAACATTTCAGTCAGCCTGGCCCTCTACGCCATGTTCCTCTTCTACTTTGCCACCCGTGACCTCCTCAGCGCCTTCAGGCCTGTGCCCAAGTTCTTCATGGTCAAGTCCATCATCTTTGTTTCATTCTGGCAAGGTCAGTGTTACTGGTGGGAAGGAGAAAGGGGTGTTCGTGATTGGGGTTTGCTCATTTTTTTTGTATTGTTCCATCAAACTGTAATGGAGGTATTGAAAAGTGAAGAAAAGTCTTCAAATGGATTCTTTTTACCTTAACTTCCTGGGATGAGTTTTGAAACTCTACTTGAGGATGCAGAACTTTTAACCCTAACAGTCCTGAATCCTCCAATTTTATTATGATTTTTACTCACCCTCGGGAGTGACATGTGGGGTTAATGAAAACAAGAAGAGGTCTCATAGTTAGTTATGTAGATGTGTTATGACATGAACATAAAAGAAATGAGAGCAAAACAGAACGGATATTGTATATAGTGTAACTTCAAAAACTCAAGCTGCATTAAAAGGAAAAGTCATCTTGAAAAATCAGGTTGCATTAATGAATTAAATTGTCAGATGTACTAGTAATCTACCAGGTAGTTCTCCATGATAATTGTCCACCTTGTTGTTGTGTGACTTAACGCTTAAATCTTGTGAGTGCACAAAAGCAACCCTGCATTGTTCTTTGCCAAACCCGATGTGTTTGCTGGAAACCTAATTAACTCATTTCTGACCTCCAATGGGCCCATGTACAAGTACAGTAAAATCTCGATAAGTCGAAGCTCAGGGGAATGGACGAAAAGTTAAAGTTATCCGACGTTCGAGTTATCGAAAGTTAAATAAAACACAAAAGTTACACGCTTCAGTGCACTTGTAAGCTCACTGGCTTACAGCAGTTGGCCTGCAAGCTGAGTCGAATATGAAGTGGATTTTAGGCTATCCCTACTGTGCAAGTTTTCCTCAAACATCATCATTAAACATGTTTTTATCTGGTACATTAATAAACAATAAACCAATGAAGTTATGTACCGGTACCTGTGTCTACGTCTTGAGAATTCATTCATTTGCTTTGTGTGATCGGGCTGTTACCGCGTAATGCAGCCCGCGGGCCAGTCGGTCAGGGTTTCCGTGCTGGGTCTCGTGATACATGTACAAAATGTGATTCCTTTTTGAGCGCTTGAGGGCGCATCATTCGTGCCTGATTTATTTTACGGTTTCGGTTGATGCCCACCCAGTGCTTGTCGACGTGACAGTGGCAGCCCTTGTGAACATGCTCGGCTCATCAAAGAAAAGCCATGCGCGTGACAGTAATGACTCATCATGTAGACAAGTGTTCTTCCATCACTTTATTCATCATTCTTCAGTGTTTTTTTTTAATTGCCCTGCCAAAACTTCGAGATAAGCGGCTTTAGTGGTATTGACGTTTCGAGTTACGGATAGTTTATTGTACATAAAGGCCTATTCTTTTGTCGGGAATACAAAGAGACGTCGAGGTAAACAGAGTTTCGACTTAACGGGCTTCGACTTATCGAGATTTACTGTATATGTATTGGGTACGCACGTGGATCTGGCATTAGGCTTTGGGTACATACAGGCTTTCCTTTGGGAGAAGGGGGAAGATGACAGATTTGAAGCTCCTGGGAAAGTGTACATACATGTACATGTATGTTACACAGAGTGGTGTCATCTGTACTGTACAAGCCTGAGTACCCATCAAAAGTTCTGTTGCAGATTTTATGTTACAACTGTACTTGAAGTTTGGAGAAACTAGCAGGATTAAGTTGTCAGTGTGATATTTTCAATGCTTTTGTAGAGGAACCAGTACCGGTAATGAGAAAAGTACATGTACATGTACAGCTACTGTATATCTTCAGTAGGCTTTTTGGAGTGCACACAAGTGACCTTTCCAGACACTTCACTGTCACCAAGTTTTAAATCCTTGAGTGTCATCCTCCCATGGCAATAATTGAGTATGAAAGGTATGGCCTTTTGAAGGCCTGTGAGAGCCAGGTTTTATCGAATTCAGTTCGGATTATGCACGGTGCGTTTGCGTCTGTGAAGAGCAAGACTGCTCTTTGCAGTTTTGCTTGTATTTACATGTACTGTACGTACATGTACATGTACCGTTACATGTACATGTATCGTTACATGAACATATGCATAAACGCGTCTTGTTGAAATAATTGGCCACAAGGTGCAAAACCACTGTGTGGACTGTAAGGCAAAAACAAGGACAGCATGAGAAATATTCTTTTTATATGTCAAATATTCATCTACAGTAGTGTATTTGTGTATGTACCATAGTTCATTTCTTTTCTGAGTCATTTTATTACTGATTGGTTGAAAAGATATATGTGTTTCATTTTTGGGAGGGGGGCATTGTGACAAAATGGGCAGCCTGTCTTCAAATCTTGAAAAATTTTAAAGTGTAGGAAATTTGTAGTCCTCTCATTCCAGAGCTGCATAATTCTTTGAAGTGAATGATCCACATCAAAAATTCACTGAGAGATGTGAACTGGCCTTGTGTATGTAAGCAAAGTCCCATTGATATTAACAGTTTGATGTTATTGGTTTCAAAGTCCAGTTCTTGTGGCAAATTTATAGCCTGAAAACATACGCTATTGTGTGGAAATAGTTACCACGGCAACAGCTGGCTTCCATGAAACCTCAAATGCCTTGTATTGGAGGGAAAAAAACCACTTTATTACTGGGATTTGGGTCTACATGAACATTGTTCCTACCGTTATTTCAAAAGTAGACCAGAGTTAATTATTAGCTTTTCCTTGTCAAATGTAACATTCGAACTTAGAACTTAACAAGTAATGGATTGGGATCATGATCTGGAATAATTACAGCGCATACATTCTTGCTTTAAGTCTCAGCCCCAAATTCCTCTCTGACATTCTACCTCAGCCCTTTAGCTTATTGTCATTTTTAGAGCATGTACTGTTGCACCTCATCTTTCATAATACAGTGGGATGATAAGTCCTACCGGAGCCTGAGTTATAACTTACAGGTGCGGTACATGAACATTTCCTGCAGACCTGGAATTTCAGCCAGAACTACCGGTACCAGAGCCTGCTTATTTCCTTGGAATCATGCGCATTACATTCAAGTAACAGGGACTGCAATTTTCTCAGAGTACATGTACATACGGTATACACATTTGTGACTACTAGACTCAGACATGTAATGTTGAAGTTGCATGTACCTGATCCAGTACTGATACATCTTCTATAGTGAGAGAGCAGCTGATGGTAGCATGATGCTTGATGTTTTGAGGACAAGGGTCACTGAGGGTGGAATTCCTCAAAATAGGAGAAGTAAACAGAAGTGCACACTGCTCTGTAGGAAAAGGTCGGTTTATGCGCAACTGTGGAACTACATCAAGCATGCATGGATCTGTTTAATTGCGCTTTGCCCACGCCGTCACAACCAAATCTTGGAACTCCTTCTTGTCATTATGATCATTCAGAACTATCTTCTGTTCCTCAACAAATATTGATCAATCCAGTGAAGTCTGCCGTCTTCAAATGCTTAAGCTGTTTAATTGTCTTGTAGTTAATGAAGTTGACTAATGAGCAGTAGACACATGTTGTTGCAGGAATGGATGCTGGCTGTGTACATTATTGTCATTCGGTCGTGCTGAAGTACACTGTACGTACTAGCACCTGTACATGTAGGAGGATTCTTTACAGCTGCAATAACATTGACATGCTCTGTCCTCCGTCCTCCTGTAATTGTCTCACAGGTGTTCTCCTGGCCATTCTGGAGCTTGGTGGAGCCATCACCCCTCTGGTAGTGGAGGGGGGCAGGGAGACTGTCCAGGCAGGCACTGTCTCTGCCGGATACCAGAACTTCCTGGTCTGCGTGGAGATGTTCTTTGCCGCCATTGGGCTCCATCTAGCATTCCCATACTCCACCTACGAGCAGTGCACACTTCTATCGGATGGCCAGCCTGGTAGGCAGTCAACCATGCAGGTGAGATTTATCAAACCCTGGTTCACATCACAGCATCTCTGATCCAGTAGTAGCTGAATTCGGCTCCAACGTTTTGAGCTTTTGTGTCACCAGTCTTGTCGAAATGCTTCAGAGAAATTTTCCATGGGTTGTTTTACTTGAAAAAGTCTTTCTAGTTTCAAACTGTGACAGGTTCATCTTATGGAAATGTTTCAGCATAAAAGGCATGTCAAGCTGAAATTTGAGGAATACTGTAAAGATGTGTGACTCCTGTGGGTGATGCGCAGACCCACTTCTCAAAATGCATCATGCTTATCGTACACGTACATGTACATCTTCAGACTTTCATGTGAATGCACAAAACTTCAGTGGCATTAACCTCTCATCTAGATCTAGTAAAGATCATGCAGGGTTATTTTTGAAGGGCTGCTGTTGATGTGATAGCAGATTTATTATAAATTTACAAGCTACCCTTGTGAGTCTGTAGGAGCTGTGGCAGTCTTTTAGTTCATAAAACCAAACAACTTTCTCTACAGAATGACATTTTAAATGTCAACAAACTCATATTTTAGTACTGGAAAAGTCGTGGAAATTGGTTTCCACATTTCTCTGGGAACCCTGCTTTTAAGCAACTAATCTTTCTGATATAAATGTTTTCATTGGGGGTAATAAACTTCAAAACTTTCAGAAAATGTTAAACCAAACAGATACAGAAACATTGAAGTGTTTCATGTGAATCATGCTTATCACAGAGTATCTCCAGCAACCTGAAGGACACGGTCAACCCCAGGGACATGTTCCAGGACACCATTCACAACTTCTCACCGGCCTACCAGACATACATGCAGCAGGGCACCACGGATGACAGTGAGACGGCAGGACGGCGCAACGGCGATGCGGGCCCAAGGGGCTACAAGGGCAGCATCAACTCCAAAGGGGGAGGGAGTGGAGTCGGAGGGAGTGTACTGGGAGGGGGTATCCGCCTGCCCAGGTTCAACAGCAAGGCCAACCAGAATGAGAAGTCAGGCCTTCTGAGTTCGGATGATGAGTTTTGATTCTGCTAGTGGGGTTTAAATGGTAACAAGACCAGGAGAAATATGTACTGGTGTGGGATGTTGGGATGGTAAATACATTGTTGTGTAATTTAACTTGTTTAATTTGTTGCTGGGGAAGCCATTCATGTTCAAGTCACTCTGTGTTGAAGGCAGGGAGTGTTGCTCGTCCCCTTCAAGTAACATACATGTATGAGATAAATCTCTGAAAGATTAGAAGCAAAAACCTCTCATTGGACAAGCCCATCACATATTTTTTGGTTGACCAGGACTAATATATGAACATCCGGTAGTTACAATAAAGCACAGAAAGACAACATCCCGCCGAGCCGTAAATACATGTACATGTATATGTACATGTAGAACTTAATAAAATGTTTTGATTGTCTTGTAAATAACATTTTTCTATAAATCGACATAAGTGTTTGGAAATTACATGTAAGCACAATCTACTTATTTGCTCCTGGAAATTCCTGGGAAAATTAACCATTGCTGTATGTTGGCATGAATGTGGTAAAATAATACGAAGAGCATGGTCAAAGCTATTAGCTCCTCCTAAATTGCACTGATGGTCTTTATGTGAACTGGCAAGCTCTAAAATATTGTCAACTGCGAACATCCGAAATGGCCCATTTGTAACAACGGTAAACGATAACAGGGAAATTACAGGTTTCCTCACAGCATTTTATTTTCTTTCTGTCATTAACAATAAAGAAAATTCTCGAGTATGGTACCAACCAACAGAAATAACAACGAATCGTGTGTCAGTTGAGTATGGATAAGGTCACTTAAGACAAGTTGTCAAAATGGAGACTTGCTCTTCTTTCAACACCTGATTCATTGAGGATGAAAGACATCAATTAAGATGATGCTTTTATCAAAAATGGAGATTTTTGTTTGTGATGGGTATCACAGAAAAACTTGTGGTAGGTGAATTATATGTAATTGCTTGTTTGGCGATGGTGTTTAATTTTTTTCTAATGACATTAACGATAACTTTGATAAATGTCACAAGTTCTAATGAATCTGAAATATGTAAATTGGCCATTGAAGGAATAATTGGATGAACTGGCTCCTATTGAACTTGAGTTGTGCAGTTTGAATGCTTTAAGTGTTGATGATCTTGAGAAACTATGAATTTGTTTTTCATTTTATGGTTTTCATCTTGATAGAGAGTCCTGTTGTTAATTGAAAAATGAAGGACTTAAATTGCAAGAAATAATATGTGCCACGGGTTTAAATTATATTTCGGCATTTTACGTGTACTTAAATCTCCCCTGAACAGTTAACTGTTGTGTCTACTGCTTTCCTCAAACCTGAGGAAATAAAAGGTTTTTTAGGGATTTTTTGTGTTTTTTTCCCCAAAGTCACAAAGTAGGTGTGCTTCACAGTGCAACTGACTGCCTCACCATTGAATGTACATGTAGATCAGAAGATCTCTGCAAAGTGCACAACAAAGATATTGAATCCTCACAGCCATCACTTCAAGAGTTTTCTCTTTTATTTGGTTTTCCCCTCGGAAACAATGAAGCACACAGTCAAAGCTGTAGATGTGAAGAGGTGATGAGTGTATTTCAGCCAGACAGGGATATGACCCTACTGTGCAACAGATCGATTCTGACAGTTTGTAGATTGATGTAAATATCTTGATGTACTTAAAAATGTAGTTACAAATGTTTGGAAACGGGGTTGGCAAAGTGGCTGAACTCCTCGTGTTCTGTAAACAACATGTTTGTAGATTGTTTTGTTAGATGAAAGAACAATAGTGTAACATAATGTACAGAGACTTTGATATATCTGTACATAGGAAGAGTACATAGAAGAACTTTATGTACAAGTAACTCACTCGCTGGAGGAAATGAGCAACGGTCCTCACTCAAGGAAATGCCAGTCTAGGTTTTTTTTCCCGTCCTTTTTTCCCCCCATCAATCCTATGACATCGTCTTTAGTCTGTCTTAAGTCTGGACGCTACTGACGTTTTACATGTGCTTAGCTAGTCTGGGTGTACCGCAGGCTTACTGATGAGTCACTGGGAACAGTGGAGCACAGGAACTAAGATACCCCACAGTCATGACAAGGGTCGGCATGCACATGCTTTAGAAAGTGACTGGAAAATGACGAGGAGAGGTGGAGTTCGGTAAAGCTTTCTCTGCTTTCAGCCGATCTCTGACCAACACCTCCGAATGATGGAGAATAAATTCAGTCAAATATCAAAATTTCAACAGCTTGAATTCTTTGGGATATTGGATATGAACCAAGAAAAATGTTAAGGATATACAGTCAAAATCCGAAGGAAGAGAGTAATTTAGGTACATGTAGCTATAGAAATGAACCACCAGTAGTTTACAGACTCTAGTGTACATTTGTACATGTCCACTGTGTGTAAATAGGTAAATTAAATAGCTGAAAGTAACTGTACCTCAGTTGTACCTGAGATGGAAATCATGTTTTAGATGACAGATGTGGCGATCTTCATGTACATACCTGTTTGTGTTCATACATGTAGGTTGATGTGTGTGAGACCTTGATGCATAGTTAGTAAACAGCTGTGTTAATATGCAATGTGTATAGATGACTGTGCTATAAATTTTAAGTGAAGTAATTGCATTTTGAATTGAATTCTTTTTCCCACAAGGATTCTATTCATCGACCTTTCACCTTTTCTTTCAATTCACCCTCAATATACTCACCAAGTGCTAATTGTACTCTGCTTTGACCCCAATCCCTCAACTGTGAACATTCTTGCAAGCTACTTAATCTACTGATTCTCGTTTCTTTTGTGTTTTATATAACATGGAAAAAATGAGTTTTCGTTTCCCCATACTGATATACTCCAAACCAAACTTTCATTCATGCTGATAATTAATGTTAATAACTATGCAGTTACTAGACAGAAGTGGATTTATTTGCTGCAGATGTTCGCGGTCAAATTCAGTGCAGATTTCACCAACTTGAAAGGAGAAAAAGTCTGGGTATTTCCACAATGTAGAGACTTGGGGCCAAGAAAACATCAGGAGTATTGTACATACGTCTGCCTATGCAGAAAAGTTGTGTGCACACACGCACAAGTAATGCTTATTATGCCATGCCACAAATCACACCAGTTCGCATGGCGACTGGCCCTAGTGATGTCACTGATTGAGTCAAGTTTGTTAGAGCGCAGTGCATGGACCAAACATAAACTACAGAGGGCAGTTTTCAGCTTATGCGTGAAGGTGGCTGGTTTGCAGTCCTGTAGACATAGGCTGCCTGAGAATAGGTGCTGCTGGATGTAACACATGCACCTATATGGAAGTCACTGTCTGCCTGTGGTAGGCAGTCAATTCCGAAACAACCTTCAATAGAAAGGTAAAAAAAGGCAGTGGACTTGGAGACGGGAGACTAGACCTCATATCACAATACTTTATGTAGACAGTATCTGCATAACCTCTGAAAGTCGCACACATTGCCGTGTGTGCATGGTGACAGATCAATGAAGTCTGGTTTCTCCAGTCTAGAGGTACTCCCAACACATACTGAAAACAGTACGTATATGCAGATGTAAATGTAAATGAAGTTGACCCCACATCAGAGGTGAGAAGATCATGTCATTTCTGAGTGGAAATCATTTTTTTTTTCACTGTAGGTCCGTTTGAGATGTATTTTTTTTCTTCTTTTTTGTTTGGAGGACAAAATGTCCAATATTGTCAGGCACTGTAGTTAACTCCTATGAAATTTGAGGTCAGAGTAATTAGTTTGATTCTTTGAAATTAAACTTGAATCCAGGTGAAATTACTCGAAGGCCATCATTATCTGTTTATAAACAAAATAATGCTTGTATTTGCCAAAGACAATTATGAATTAACTATATCAAAAGAAATAATTGTATAAGAAATTCAGTGAAACTATTTAAAATGTCGAGTATTTCTTAGTCAAAGTGTACACAAGATCTAGTTGTAATAAGTCAAATGTAAATTTAGATTTTAAATCTGTGTTTATTTTGGTGATAAAAGTAAGAGTTTTCTATTTACATTACAGTTTAGCACAACAGAAATGTTTGTTTACCATACTTGCCAACCCTTTTGATATGAGGCAACAAAAGGGGTACCCAGTTCAGGTTCAATCCAGTGTATCCTACCTCTCTTCACTTGGCATGTTTTGATCTTTTTTCTTCCTGTTGCTGAGGATACAGGAAAGAGTTCCATGAAGCAGCGCCGTTCTTTTAAAAATAGCTCCATGAAGCAGCGCCGTTCTTTTAAAAATAGCCGGCAAGGGGCATGCCCCCCAAACCCTGAAAGAGCTCTGTGCATCCCCGAGTAAGGGTGCATTACTTCGTGGTGTGACTGACTATACAGTATCTCAGTGTAGGTGTTAATTTGTCTGCCTCTAGTTGGCTAACCTGCTAGATGGTCCTCAATAAAAACTACCCTTTTGATTTTGCACATATGTTGGCTTGCATGGTTAACTGGTTAACTACATGTGTAGCAAAACACACATTGCAAAAAGCACATGAAGTTACACCATGGAATGATATTAATTTTATGTGACACTGATGTCATTGTGTCCATGTGAATGAAAATGTGGCATAATTACTCGTCGGGACTGCATTGGAAGGAAAAGGATGACAGGTGATGTTCCATAATGTAATTTTTGCTCAGATTGAGTGACAAGATTTTGTTAACTCGTCATGCTCCCCAAAGATATTTTTGTTGTGGAGATATTCTCACATTAGGTTCAAAGAAATTATGGTGAAAGAGAGAGCGAGCAATGCTGTGTGCTTTTATCCATGAAAGGTCATTCCATTTCCTGTTTTTACAGTTCTATATTTCCAGTAGCATGTATGCAAAACACTCTCCCCAATCTAAGCCGAAATTGGTAAGTTTTGAATTTTGAAATTATTGTACCAACTAACAGATTGTTCAAAGTCCTCAAACTGACCTGGAGCTTTTTTTTGGTAAGAGTTGCATACCGAGTGTAACTGAGTTCATATGGATTGTGTGCTGTAGCTTCACTAGGAAGGTTGTAAACATTTTCCAACAATGGTTTTAGGATTCCATCAGCAATAGTGGGGTTGACCTCACAAAGATGGGTTTATGAATTGTAACTGCACTAAATTTACCAGCTTCAATTAACCAGGTAGCAGATTTGTTTTATTTTCCTTCCTTTTGTTGGTCACGTTTCATCACAGTTCATCATGAAATCACTGCACGTTTTACGTTTGGGTAGTTCCAGAAATTAGGGGTTTGTCCTTTTTTTTGTCCTTGTCACATCTGAAATATGATTTTTTAAGTTCAAAACACATTTTCTAATTTACAAGAGTGATGAATTAATGCAAATCACCTGCCAAACAAATAGTAGTAGTTTGAAATCAATTCCGGTGATATTTCCATGTCAAATAACAAAGGTCAGAAGTAACAGTGACACGAAAATGTCATACTTTTGGACCTCTAATTTCTGGAATTACCCCCTTTACAGTTAAACTGACTCATTGAGTGCATCTATTGACAGACCTCACACTTTGTTTCAGAAAGTATTTTCATCTGTAATTTATTGAACCGTTGTATGTAAATATTTTCTGTGGAGTTTTGCAGAATTTATGCACCACAGTCACTTTTGGACTAAACCGAATGTTAGTCGTAACAAATCCAGGCAACCTGCCTCTTTCCAACAAAACCAACTTTTTTATACAACTGACTTCCAAACTTCCTATGTAAAAAATGGAAATTATGCACCACCCAAACTGTCGGGGGAAAAACTTTCTGTTCTTCATAGACAGAATCATAGTATTTATGAATAAATGTGAATTGCATGCAGCTACATGTATTAGCAACATCTGGTTTTGTTTGTCCATTTCTTTGGTTAACTTTCACGTGACCTAACTGTTATACATATAGTAACAATGTTAATCTGAGGGTAGAACAGTAAAGTACATACTTGTAACAATGCCAACGTCATTTCCCATGAAAAAAATCTTAGAAAAAAGTATAGTATAATCAATTTTAAAGACACTCAAATAGTAACTTAAATGCTCAAGTTATTACATACCTGTAGACCCAAAACTTAATGAAGTTACGCTTTATTTGTATGTGCACTTTCCTACGGCGGCTGGACAGGTTGTATCCCACCTCACGGGTATAGGGAAACTGTACGTGTAAAATGAAGCGTGACGTCCGTACGTTACAGGTCTATTAACAATTACAAGTTATGTCGCCACAAAATCCCACCAAATTTTGATGAGGTGTGTCAACAATACAGAGGAGTTTATTGCGATCTGTGGCATCGGTGATATTTCCAAGTAGTTTATAGACACTAGACAGTTTCAGTGGAGGGATGTACAGGTCTTAGCCATCCGTGCCGAGGGCAGCACAACCACAGATGACAAGTTCGCCAATTCCTGGTGGGAACTGTCCAGAGTATTCAGAGTTACTTGCAAGTCCATTTCCCGGGTGTTGTCGTGGCTGTTGGCTAGCCGGAGCATCCTCTACAGCCACAGTGAACACACTCTACAATACGGCCCTTCAAAGACAAACGACAACCATGGCAATTAGAATATTATCATGTGGGCGGCAAACAACACTGATATTGAAGGACACCTAAACTCAAACGACATTTTTGGCTTACGAGTTTTTGGTAAGTGCCTTTGCACCCTCTGAGAGCAGGATTTGTGATTCTCTTCATTATGCCAAACAGTGCACTCGGAATAGCTGATGTAACAATCTACCTTCACCACAGCCCTGCCCTAACTTTGAGGGTTACTGATACATGTAGCTACATCAATAACTAGAAAAAAACATAGTTGGCCTAGAATTGTCATTCCGTCTACTCTAGCTGGAAGCAATTGTCCATGTTGCATTGAAATTGAAGGATGCAGGCCTCTGCGATCCAAATCAACAGATCTTTGTGCTTATGACATTCTCACCTCTTCCAGTTTGCTCTTGGGGACGCGGCATATGCAATTGGTGCCAAAGTTGGTGTCTCTAGCCTGAATGCAGCGCAGACAGCACAGGTTCTCATAGCCTTGCTTCTTCCATTTGGCTATCAGGTTCTTGTCGGCGAAACCCTCTTTGATGCAGTAATCGTACAGCTCTGCCAACGGTAAGACAAATTACAGGAAATATATCAAATTGCAAGTAGAGGGGCCTCAGTAATGTAGAAAATGCTGGAAGAGAACTAGTGCTGGGCAATTTTTTTTCAGGAGAGAAAGTTCGAAAACCACATGAGTAAGTACATGTACAGGTAGCTAGTCGGGCTTGAGAGAAAGAATAAAGCATGCAGCAGGTGGCACAACAGCTTTGCTTGCTTTTTCATAACAGGTCAATTAACCCAGTCCGATTTGGGCTTCTATCGGCTGCCTTTGTTAAAGGCACTCATTGGTACATGTACGTGTAGATAGCAGGGGCAGATTTTTGGTGGTCATAACTGTTTTGGTTGTGTCTCGTCTGTGAATTTCAGTTGGGCAAGAGTCACGTGTTTCTGTGGTACCCACATCCCCATTCAAAAAGAGGGAAGCAATTCTTGGTTTTGAGCACCAAAACACACTCCAGGCTTACCACGACTAATGGCTTTTCTCTTATAGAAGAGGTCGTACACATAGCGGGACTTCTGGTGATGTATCTTGAAGACAGGCCACAAGGATTCAACCTTACGTTTCCCTTCATGGGTCTCTGTTTCAGCTGCAGGACAGAAAGTGTGAATAATACAAAGTCCACAAACATTCCGTTAGTCCCGTCAATTACCTTCAACTACCCACTGAAATGTCTTTTTGTTTGGAAAATAATGCCTTATGTGTGGGGCCCCACCAAAAGTCTCCATAATTCCCGCAGTAAGTACATGTACAGTGTACTTTGACCACAATTTGTCCTTCAATAAACTAGTTTTTTATGCCTTCATCTCGCTAGCTGAAAGTTTGACTAATATACTACATAGAATAGTATTATCAAGTACATCAGATGTAACCAAAGCAACAGGAACGACGTTCCCAAAGAGTTGGATCGGTTGTAGTAAAACTTATGTCAGCAAAATTCGCACAAGTACATTGCAAATGTCATCCACTGGGTATCGGTAATGCCTTACATGTACTTCTGAAAAAGCTGCCAGTTAATGTCTCTCGAATGAGGAATTGTTGTTTGCATTAATTGCTTTGGTGTAGTGATGCAGTTTCAGAAAAAACAAACACATGTATTTGCCATAGCTCAATTTTCCATCACTGTCTCTTTTTCTTTCTCCTAGTTTTTAATTTTTGTCAATTTCATTTCAAGTTACAGTGAGGCATGACTTCTTATTCTTTAAATAAGTCATATAAGCATTAATACGAGTAACTGATCTGATTTTTACAAAAAAAAAGCTCTCTCTGAGTGTATTTTTGAAAAAAACAAATTGCAAAATACAGTGCCCCTGAATCCATGCCCATCGTCGGCAATGCAAATCGTAAAATATAAGGTGCGCAGTGCTTTTTCAGGCTCCGTATTTTTGATAACGCCCTCAGTAGTTGGCTAAAGTTGCCCGAAGTCATCATCAGTGCCGCGCCCGTGTCGGACGTCCAACACTAAGTCAGTGAACAGTGATCATTTATTCATTTTCTAGACAATGTTTTGTCTGTAAAGTAAAACATTATATTCCGCAGACATTTTCCCGAATTCTCACTGAAAAAGCTTTTAATTCGCCCATACATGCAGAAATAAAAATGTTGAAGAGATGATTGATCATTGACAGTAAATTAATGTCTGTGCATAATTTCATTCAAGAGTTTCATGAGCAGAAAGTTGAGTGCGCGAATATTTGTATGCGCAAATTTAGGGTACTCCATGATACGTGACTAGCCATACCGTGGCTGTACTAGATTTGATTTGACACTTTATAAATACACTACTCCAAAAAAGTTAAGGACCATTTTTTATTTTGCTTTTTACTTTTACTTTTTTTGTTTACTTTTTTATATGAGATATTTTACTGCTGAAAATGTGCATTTAATGTTTTGATGAAACAAAAGACTATGAGAAGTAATGTCAGACAGAATCCTCTGTCATGTCTGTATTGCACAATTTGTCAACAATTCTGCCAATCTATCGGCCAATATCCTTTTCTTTCTTATCAAGCTTATGGTAGTAAAGCTAAAGATTTTACAAAGCATCCACCACACCAATTGTGTACAGTGATCAGGCATGTCAGGCGATCAACATGATCGAACAGATCGACCGATGCCGATCGCACCCATACCCTAAATCAAAAATGTCCACATCGATACAGTTGACTCGGTATGTTCGGCGAGCTTACCCTCTCTCATTTTCTGCTCAATTTCTTCGAGTGTTGGTTCAATTAACTCCCATCCTTCGGGTGGTGCTTTTCTAGATCGCTTTACTTTAGGCATGTTTCCTTTTAAAATGAATTTGAGAAACAAAATACAGGAAAACTAGGAACGTTTCAACACGTCAAATGTGATTTTTTTTTTCACAGATTTGAAAAGATTGCGCCACCAAGTGTTAAGTGTTTGTCATGCATCATGCGCCAATCAGGTCTAGAGGGCGCTATAAGATTTCATTAATGTAAAATAGAGGGCGCCCTCTAAAAACCTTCTTTGCGCTTGATAGAGGGCGGTATTTCAAAATATCAACAGCAATATTAATGAGCCGGGGGCACTTTTTCTGAAATCAAGAGATTTTCCATCAATAGGGGGCGCTGTTTGTCAAATTATCGGCGGTCTTATCGACTCAACAGAGGGCGCCATTTATTAACTGCAAATTTTTTTTATCAACAGGGGCGCTGTTTCTTAAATCAACAGAGGGCGCTGTTTCTTACTCGGTAATTGGCGCCCTCATTGAAGGGATGCTTCATGCATGCAGCACTCCGTTGATTTGGCCGATACTGGAACTTGGAAGGAAGCATTTATTAGTGTATTTTATGTACCCAAATGGAAGATTTGTGAACGTAAGTATACGTATTATTCCTAATGGCATCCCTACTCGACAAGCATTTCATTTATGGGACCCCATCCATAACCATTTCCTTCCTGTTATATCTTTACTTGGCTCTACTGAGTGGAGCGATTTTGAACGGGATCGTCAGTCACGCTCCGGCTCCACGCCTGTACAAAGACTAGATAGAGTCACGATCGTAGGTCAACTCGCCCCCTAGCCAACTTGCCCCTTACCAGCACGCCCCTAAAGGGTGCACTGCCCAATTCAGGGGAAATTCTTTGGCAGGCCGAGGCGCTCAAAAAGTACCCCTACAGTTTATTTGGAAAAGGGGAGATTGTGTGGCCCAAAAATTCGTGCGATTGTGAAAGAATGGCCCAGAATGAACTCCCTAGATTCAAGGGCTCCCATCCCAGGGCAAAGCATAGAAAAACGCCATTGAAAAATTGTCCCAAGAGCCTGAAAAGGTGGAGGGATGTCATTTGAAAAATTGCCTCTGACAGACTTGGGAACGTTCACTTTTTGGAAGGTGAGTTTGTTTTGGGTGGATAATTAACCCTAACACTCCTCAGTCCTCCAACAGGTGAAGGATTTAGGAGGGTTAGGGTTAAAGATTTCATTGGTTAACCTACTAAAAATTGAAAATCAATTGAGAGCTGAATGACCCCACAACACTTTGTTTTTGTTTGAGAGGCCTGAGGGACTTCGGTTGCCCGCACCGGGGCTGCAAACGTGGTCGATTTGACATTGTCTTCAATGGA